GGGAGCTCATCAGGGAGGCTGCGGGCCCCGGGTCCTGGAGCTCACTCAGGGAGGCTGCGGGCACCGGGCCCCGGGAGCTCAGGGAGGCTGGGGGCACCGGGTCCGGGAGCTCATCAGGGAGGCTGCGGGCCCCGGGCCCCGGGAGCTTAGGGAGGCTGGGAGACCGGGTCCGGGGAGCTCATCAGGGAGGCTGGGGGCACCAGGCCCTGGGAGCTCAGGGAAGCTGGGGGCACCGGGCCCCGGGAGCTCAGGGAGGCTGCGGGCACCGGGTCCGGGAGCTCATCAGGGAGGCTGCGGGCCCCGGGTCCGGGAGCTCACCCAGGGAGGCTGCGGGCCCCGGGTCCGGGAGCTCACCCAGGGAGGCTGGGGGCAGCGGGTCCGGGAGCTCACCCAGGGAGGCTGGGGGCAGCGGGTCCGGGGAGCTCATCAGGGAGGCTGCGGGCACTGGGCCCCAGGAGCTCACCCAGGGAGGCTGCAGGCACCGGGCCCCGGGAGCTCAGGGAGGCTGCGGGCACTGGGTGCGGGAGCTCACTCACTCACGGGCTCCGGGCCCAGGGGACGCACGGAGGCGCCTGTCTTCTTATTGTTACTAATTTAAATCCTCACCCAGAGACGTGACTTTCCTTGATGTAGAGGAAGGGGCCGGGAGAGGGAGGGAAAGAGAAGCATCCTCCAGGTGCCTCCCACCTGCGCCCCAACGGGGCTCTAACCCGCGACTCCTGGGTGCAGGGGCCCCGCTCCACCCAGCCGAGCACACCAGCCAGGGCCTGTCTGCCTCTTTATCTTTGGTTTTTCTCCACCCCCCCTTGCCGCCCAGCTTTAAGTTCTCCCCTGAACCGGATTGTCACTGCCTTTGTTTGCTGCAGCACCCCCAGTGCCCGCAGCACCCCCAGAACACCCCCCGGGGCTCCGCGGGCACCGGGATGCTTGTGGGACTGACTGGGATCCTTTCTGTCTGTCGGCTGCTGGTTCCCACCTACTAACCGGGCTCAGGGCCTTCTCTACCCTGTGAGTGAGTCAGCCCGGCTGTGACTTCGCTGTCTGGTTGGCTTCCACTCAGGTGTGAGTGTCCAGGTGAGAGCACCTGAGGCCTCACGGATGCGTTAAGGGCAGTGTCCTCTTTTTCTGTTTTTTTGTTTGTTTGTTTTTTTAAATATATCTCTATTGATTTCAGAGAGAGGAAAGGAGAGGGAGAGAGAGAGAAACATCAATGATGAGAGAGTCACTGATCCCGCAACCCGGGCATGTGCCCTGACCAGGAATCGAACCCCGATCGCCTGGATCTTAGGTCAGTGCTCAACTGCTGAGCCACGCCCGGCTGGGCCTCTTTTTCTGTTAAAGCGGGTTATCCTCTGCTCCCCAACACCCACGTGGGGCAGGCAGACTGGGTGGCCAAGTGCCCGTAACACCTCCACTGTGCAGAAACCGCCCTAGAGGCTTTGCTAACCTTCGTCCATTCTTCAGGGCACTGAGGAAGGTGTCTGCAGCTGCCCTCTCTGTTTCCTGTGGCATCCTTTCCAGATGCCGGTCCCGGTCCCTTCCACCTGCGCCGAGCCCGCTGCCTCTCTCCAGGACTTCAGCCCTCTGCCGCCCTCCCCTTGCACCCTTGCTTCTGTCCGTCCGTTGCCTCTCACATCGACACGCAGATGCACTCCTGTCCCACGTGTCCCCGTGGCCTCTCCACTGCAGTGTCTGCCGCGCTCAGAGCTTTCTCTGTTGGCTTTGCTATTTTTTCACATCCCTCAACCCCAACCAACCCCTCCTGCCCTCACCCCTCCACTCAAGCTGCTTTCATTAGTCATGACATTTTTTTTTTTTAAATTATTGATTTCAGAGAGAGAGAGGGAGGGAGAGAGAGAGAGATGGAAACATCAATGATGAGAGAGTCATGGATCGGCTGCTTCCTGCTGGAGATTGAGCCCAAAACCTGGGCATGTGCCCTGACCGGGAATCAAACCGCGATCTCCTGGATCCTAGGTCGATGCTCAACTGCTGAGCCACGCCGGCTGGGCGAAGGTTTCTTTTTTCTGTCCTTTGGAGCAGTGTAAATAGTTTTGGAATTTTGTATTATTTAAAGACTTGATAGAATTATCCTATGAAACCACCTGGGACTCAGGTTTTCCAGGGGAGAATCACTCTTTAATAAATTTGTCCAGTTTTTTAAAAGATTTTTTTCTTAGTCCTGGTGTCAAGTTTTATAAATAAATTTATATAATTTAGGTACAAGAAATAAATTCTATTTTCTGGAAAATTATCCATTTCAGTCAAGTGCTTAGGTTATGTGCATGGAGTTGAGCAAACTTGTTTATGAATCTTTTACTATCCTCTCTCTCTGGTTACTGTTGTTTATTTCTTTTGTGCATTTGTGCTCTCCACCTTTCCCTTGATTAGGTAATAGGACTAATTGAATTGACTAATTAGGGCCTAATTAGGATATTAGTACTTTTTTGGTTTTGTGGTTTTGCTAAGCTTGCTAAGACATGCTTTGTGAAGTCCTGTATAAGCCTGATTGAAGTTTCAGTTCAGTGCATCTTGATAGATAATTGCTGAGGGCACAGACCCTTGGCTGGACATTGGGGAGTTTGGGAGAATTAGATGTTTGTCTTGGAGGAGCTCACAGTGTAGTTGGGGCCACAGGAGAGTCAGGAGACATTTATAGAATAGTGAGGCCGATGCAGTGGTGGAGAACAGGTTTGGGTGCTGTGGGAGCCCCAGGGAGAAGCAGGCTGGAGTGGGAGCAGGAGCTAGAGGAGGGAGCGCCCCACTCCCAGCAGAGGGACCCCCTAACCCAGAGCCTGACTGTTAGAGGGGGTCAGGCTTGTAAACACATCGGGCTGTGAAGCACCAGGGTGGGAATGTGGACGTGGTTCAGATGGGCTCCAAGAAGAGGCGGCAGTCAACAAACACGTCTACTCATGGAGTCCCTACTGTGTGTTTGAACAGTATTGAATTTGTTTTCAAAAGGGGAATAGCTGTTTTGTAGTTTGTAAGCAGGGTGTTTATCTGAAAATGTTCTGTACCTGAGGACGACTTGGCTAGTCTCGGGTAGCCACCTGAATGATGGGAGAAGTGCAGTTTAGATTATGTCTTAAAACCAGTACTGGGGCCCGGCTGGTGTGGCTCGGTGATTGAGTGTCCACCTATCAACCAGGAGGTCACGGGTCCATCCCCAGTCAGGGCACAGGCCCGAGTTGTGGGCTTGATCTCCAAGTAGGGGGCATGCAGGAGGCAGCCGATCAGTGACTCTCATCATTGATGTTTCTGTCTCTCTCCCTCTCTCTGAAATTAGTAAAAACATATTAAAAAAAAAAAAAAGCACTTGGGCTTTGGGAACAGCTTAGCGAACATTGAATATCAGGTGCTATTTTACAAAACAAAATGCAAAACGTAAGGTAATCTAGAGCCCCCTATGACAATGTGACCATTAAAATGATGGTAAGTTACACTTTGGGGAGTGAAATTTCGTAAGCATTTTGATAGCGATAGAGACAGCTGTTTTTCTGTTTACTGGCACCAGCCCTAAAATAACGGCAGACTTTCTCCCCCCAGAACTTCTTCTTTTGGCCGATGAAAAATTTGACTTCGATCTTTCGTTGTCTTCTTTAAGGTAAATAGCTGAATTTTCTTCCCTGGCCTTGGGCGTAGCTGCAGTCAAATCCCCCCTTTAAGTGCCGGCGTGATTAATAATCCTTTTCTTTCACAACAGTGCGGAAGAAGACAACGAGGTCTTTTTTGGGCCTGTTGGGCACAAGGAAAGGTGTATCGCTGCCAGTTTAGAGTTAAATAGCCCCAGTCCCGCAGAGCCTCTTTTGCCGGCATCAGGAAGCCCCTTCCGCTGGAGCCCCCTCAGCGGGGAGAAGTTCGTGGAGGTTTACAAGGAGGCTCGCTTGCTGGCCTTGCAGATAGAGAGCAGCAGCAGGAGCGCGGCCGCCCCAGCCAGGCACGAGGACCCCGGGAGCCAGGCCGTGGAGAGGTTTATACAGGAGTCCAGGTTAAAAATGGACCTGTTCGAGAGAGAACATAAAACCAAGAAAAGCCCCAACTCACTTAAGAGGGAGACGTACTACCTGGCAGACAGCCCCCTGGGGGGACCGCCGGCGGCGGGGATCCAGCCCCCCTCGGGCGCGGGCCCACAGCGTGCTCCTGCCCAGGCCGGCCTCCCCCAGACGCAGGGCCCGCCGCTCTCTTCCTGTTCTCTGCCCGTGGACCCAAGTCCCGCTCACCCTCCGAACCTGGCAGCCGCTCAGAAGAAGGTGGTCAGCAAACTGCTGCGGCCCCGCGCGGCGTCTGTGAGAGGAAGGAGCACGCACTTGGCCCTGGAGAAGGTAGGCAGCCTCGCCCGGGTGCCGGTCTGGACGCGGGAGGCTCCCGAGCCTCCGAGGTTAGCCCTGTCGTGGGAACCTTTACTGGAGGACCCCGGAGGGGGAGCTGCTCGAGGGCTCATGGTAGTGGGAGAGCAGGAGCGGGAGCTGGGCAGGGCCGCCTTGCTGATGTCAGGACTTAAAGACTCCTCCTCGGAAATTCTGGTCGACATTTTTCTTTGATTTTGTCACAACATTGGACATGCCACCCACTAGGGGTTTCATTTGCATTAACAAGCAACTTCCAAAAATCCCCTCCTGGAGTATCTGTGCATCTTTCTCCTGACTGTGACTTAGTTTAGATGCTTCCGTCCCGGGTGTTAACCAGTGGGCTGTCCTGGGACGTGGCAGTGGGCAGATGTGCCTGTGGGCATGACCAGCCAGCTCCAGGAAGCTGTGTCTTGGAGGCTCGTGGGGGAGACACTGGGGTAGGGGAAGGTGGGTGTCGGGAAGAGGGCACTAGGGCAAGGGAAGGTGGGTGTCGGGAAGACTGCTTCCAGGTTTAGCCTGAAGTGTCTCCAGCTGAGGCCGTGTCTCTCCTGGTATTTATTATCTCACCTCGTTTTTAATAAGAAGGCCGAGCCCGTCATTGTTTTGTCCGTGGGGAGTTGGTGGAGGAAGTGAGCTGCCGCTCCCCTCTATCTTGCTGATGAATGAAGGAGCCCCTGACCTCGGGGACATAGATGGCGTCTGCAGGTGCTCCAGAGCCAAGCCTCAGTGTCTGTACTGTGTTAAATTCTGGACAGTTCTCACGTTTCAGTTTAAAAATTTCAGCCTATGAGAGAAAAACCAGCCAGTCCTTCCAGGACGAAAACCCTCAGTGAAAAGGAACCCCGTGGGGACATGCCCCCTGACAAGCCCAGCGCTGCCCAGGATGCTACCAGCTTGCCAGCCAGAGGAAGCCACCTGGTCCAGGGCAAGCGGTCGCTCCCTGTGCCTAACAAGGTGGGCTGGCTGGGCCCTCGGGTGGGCTGTGGCCTGTGAGCGGAGGGAGGAAGGCGGCAGCTTTGTATGTGTGGGATGCGTCTCTGCGTTAAAATGAAGGTTGGGAATGGGATCCCTGGGAGGCAGTTGGGCACAATGCCCACTGTGTGCTGGAGGCTGGGCTCTGCCCCCTGGGAGCTGTGCGGTTAGAGAGAAGGTACCTCTCTGTACGTCTCCGGTCGCGTCAGTGTGTCTGAGGCAGAGCTAGGTGCTCTCTGTGCCCTCATGGTCGTGGCGGGATGACGTGGGATGTCCTTGCCTGAAACCTCAGCTCCTCCCAGGCATGGGACTAACTGTCCACATCTTTGCTGTTTGCCCATCAGCACTGGTGGCCAAACCGAGCTGTATGGACTTGCACAAACTGCCCAAAGCTGGCCCCACAGCTGCTGATTCTGTGGGGCTGTCCGGGCCCCCAAGTCCACTTTCCAGCGGGCGCCCTGGTGAGGCTCCCGCGGGACTCTGAGAAGTGCTGCTTGACCTTTCTCTTCTCATTCAAGATGATAATTATTAAGTTATTAAAAATTATTTTAAAGCACCCCACTTTCACAGGAATAAGGAATGGGTGGGTAATGAGACCTTTGCTGAGTTTTAACATTTTTTTCAGGTGGGGCCGAAGAAAACCCTGTTAAAGCCACCTGGCTGTGCTGTCAGTCTCGCAAGGAAGCCCCGTTCCCGGGGGTCTGTCTCTGGCGTGAGCACCAGTGTGTGCACTTCCCCAGCGGCTGGCACAGGTAAGGCACCCGCCACTCAGCTTGGACCCAGAGCTGGCCAGGCAAGGCCCTGAGTGCTGGCCGTCCCTCAAAGACGGTTCTCACAGACCCACTTAGGCTCAGCAGAAGGCTCTGGAAGGCTTGTGGTCTGAGCAGGGGAGACTGTCAGGGTCCCCGCCCGGGGGGTGCTTCCCCTCCCTCAGGGAGAGATACACTCAGAGGGCAGTTTAGTTTAGGGTGGTACAAGCCATCCCAAAGTGGGCGAGCGCTCAGGTGCCCAAGACCAGCCCCTGAGGACATGTAGCCAGGTGTGGGTGTTCAGAATAGGACTGTTCCAGGTAATCTTGTGCCCGTGACCCTTTAACTCCTGGATGAGTGTTTAAATCGCGGCTGCGAGTGGTGAAGGTAGGAGCCCTAGAGGCCGTGTGGAGAGGCCTGGGTCTCCTGCTCTGAAGGACGAGCCCCTCCTCAGATTGTTTGCTGCATGGACTCGGATGCTCATCCAGGCACACAGTGTGCGCTTTGTTCAGAGCGTGAGCAGTGTCAGCTGGAGTCCGGGTGATCTGATTTGGAATCCTCCCTGCCGGGTGGGGGTCACAGGAACTTAAGTTGTTTCCATAGTTTTACAGACTGAGGGGGGAGACCTCCGGCAGTGTCCTGTGGGCGTTAGAACGGTAACAGGTGCCAGCCTGGCCCGTGGCCCGTGTTCAGGGAGGAAGTTCCGTGACACCAGGGTTAGGACGTCTGTTTTGCCGCGTTGGTCCAGGTGTCAGCACCACTTTTGTGGATGGCGTCTGCACTCCGCACTCTGGGAAAGGTTGGGGCAGATTGAACGGGGGGCCTCTGGGTCGGATACGGAGCTCGGGGCAGGAATGTGGTGTGCCCGCTACGCCTGGTATAACGTGAGCTGTGGCGTCGGTCACGCTCTTACAGTTTTTTTATTTTTATTTTTCTAATCCTCACCTGAGGATATTCGTTCCATCCACTCCGCTCGGGTGGGTGTCTGCTGCCGCGTGGTCAGTGAGCACAGGGGGGCGTGAGCTTGTGTGCGCTCGGACGCACCTTGGTCACTGTCTAGAATCAGCCTCAGGACACACTTGGCCGGGCCAGGAGCAGCCTGGGCTGCCACGTGTGAGGATGTTGCCTGGTGGACACGCAGGACGTTGGTGATCGTGTCACATGTTTTTATATGGGAATCATCCTGACAGTGGTGATCTTCCTCACTGGGAAGCATTTTAAGCAGTTATGTTGAAGAGGGCTTACCTTGTGTGTGTCAAATAACATCGTAGATTGAAGATCACGTAAGCCTGAGTGGTGACTGGATCTGTGTGTCTCCCCTTCCAGCTAAATCAAGCGAATGCCCAAGCGTCTCCGCAGAGAGCTCCCGGCCTCCTTCCAACCCCAGCCAGCCAGGCCGAGCGGGAGCCACCGCTGTCCGGCCGGCTCTGCAGGCGGGCCCTG